CACCGCTCCAGACGTGTACGGCACGAGAAGCTGGGGGCCCACCGCCGGCTGCTGCCTGATTAGAGCCGTCTTCCCCAGGGACTTGTCAGGGCCTGGGGGGAGCTGGGCTCCCCACGCAGCACAGCTGTAAAGCGTGCTGCTGTCACGGCGCTCTGTGGACACGGTGATTTCAGTGCGGGTTGGAAGCGTTATATGTGGTGGTGCTGGGCTCGGTGCCTGCCCCGAGTGACTCTGTGCTTGTCCTGGCTCAGCCTGTGGGTCAGGCACGCTGAGAAAATGAAGTAAGAAAGGAGCTTGGGTCTCGAGATTTCTGATCCCTTGGGGGACAAGAAGCAGAAGGCGCCAAAAGTCCTTGTGCACAGAAGGAGGGAGGTGTTTCTGTGGGCTGTGTTTGGGACATGGAGGAGTCAAGAGTCTGTGGAAGGATGAGGCTGGGGGATAGCTAGGCTCCTCCACAGCAACCCTAGTAAAGGCCTTTGGGTGCTGGGGTTTGGTGCTGCAGGCAAGAATGGGGGGACCTCATCCTGCCAAGCGCTAAATGTGCGCCAAACACAGGGGGCATGTTGCATCTTGTGCACCTTCTGCCGTTTACAGAGCATTTATACTAGCCTGGTCTGGCACTGCTGTGGGAAGGGGTAGCCCTTGCTCCCGTTCCTGAGTTCTCCCCTTCCTCTGTACAGTGAAAGTGTTTGTGCAGGCCCAGCATGAGCTGGGCTGGAGAACTGCTCCAGAGTAAGACAAACTTGGCAGAAAGCAGTTTCACTCTGGCTGTTGTCTTGATCCAGTACGCACTGCAGCCACGTGGGTGCTCACACTAGCACAAAGGCTGGGAGAGCAGAGGGCAAGGAGACACCTCCTCTCTCGGCAGCATGGCCAGGCTTTCCCAACTCAGAGAAGGATTGAGTAAGATTTCATTTAAGCACCCAGCCCATCGGGTGTTTCTCAGAGGTACGCCTGGCATCCAACCAGGGCGGCCTTTTACCATCTCTCTCCTGCAGCGGCTTCTACAGTGCCAGCAGTAGCGATGCTAAAACTTCCGTGCCCCTGAGCACCTGGGGGCTGAACATGTGCTGCCTGGCTGCACGTTTCCTGATGGCAGAGAGGCAGAAAGTCTCGGGGGTTAGAAGAGCTGAATGGGAATAACCTGTGCTTTGTCTGCACTCCTCTGAAACCCCACAGTGCCTGTAGTGGCCTCAGGCTGGCATCGGTTTGGCAGCTGGAATTGGGCAGAGCCCCAGCCCTGCTCAGCTCCTGCCTGCCATTAGAAATAACTGTCAGCAAAGTGCCTGAGGGAGCTGAGCCCTCAGTGAGGCGTGAGAGCAGCAGGCTTCTCCCGGAGGAGGGACAGCAGACATGCAACCCTGGCTCTCCCCTTCACCCCTTCTTGGGAGGACGATGATCCTTTCTCACCCTCCAGGACCCTTTTCAGAGCTTGCTGTCACCCTGCCTGGTAGTTACCCTGTTCCATCCCTTTGACGTGCAGGAAGGAGGTGGTGGAGCCTGGTCTGGCCCTGCACGAAGCAGTCGCTGCTTCTTGTCTCCCAGTCCTCATGGGGTTTTCATCCCAGAGGCAAAAGGAATTCAGCAAAAAGCACTTTCCTGCATGTGGCGAGCCCAGGTTAGCTTTCACAGTGCCGGGAAGCACCTGTCACCGACCTGTTTTGGTGTTGGTGGGGACTGGAGCTGCACAGTGGCGTCTGGCTGGCAGCAGTGGCCGGCTGGCCTGAGAGGCCCAGCTGTGCGAACCACGGCCACGTTTGCCACTGCGAGGGGCCCTTCCCGTTTCTTCTGCAGCCAGAGGTGCTGCTTCACCCCAGGGAGACCCAGCGTGTGTAGCAGCTTGGGGATGGCACTGCTCTCCTCCCCAGCTCTTTCAAGCTCTTTGGGGCTGATGCTGGACCCGACTCAGTGTCTCCATCTCCATGTC